TCTGGGAGTTGAAGTCCATGCCTCATAAAAGAGCCAAGGTTGCCCACCCCTGGACTAGACCAAACTCAAATGCATGCCTGAAAGCACATCCCTTTTAATAAAAGTATTAAGTCATCTTGGAAAGACGCTCATAGAAATTAAATAAACAAATAATAATCCCCAAAAATGCTGCCAGACTCTTCTCAATTTTTTTTTTTTTACAAACCGATTTTTATTCCATCTACAGGTAGTCCTCAATGTACGACCCCAAACAGAGCCCAAAATTTCTGCTGCTAATTGGGACATCCCTTGCCACATTTGCCAAGCGGATCGTTGCATTTGTGAAGTTAGTAACACGCTTGTGAAGTGAACCTGGCTTCCCCACTGACTTTGCTTGTCAGAAGGTCGCAAAAGGGGAAATCACGTCACACACACACACACACACACATGGGACCCTGCAACCTGTCATAAATATGAGTCAATTGCCAAGCATCGGAATTTGGGTCACATAGCTGTGGGGATGCTGCAACGGTCATAAGGGTGAAAAATGGTCCTAACTCACTTTTCTCAGTGCCGTTGTGGCACCTTGCTCAATAGTAGTAACTGTGAGAGGGACCTCGGAATCCTAGTGGACAATCACCTAAATAGGAGCCAGCCGTGTGCTGCAGCTGCCAAAAAGGGCAACACAGTGCTGGGCTTCATTAACAGAGGGATAGAATCAAGATCACGTGAAGTGTTAATACCACTTTACAAGGCCTTGGTAAGGCCACACTTGGAATACTGCATCCAGTTTTGGTCACCACGATGTAGAAAAGATGTTGAGACTCTAGAAAGAGTACAGAGAAGAGCAACAAAGATGATTAGGGGACTGGAGGCTAAAGCATATAAGGAACGGCTGCTGGAATTGGGTATGTCTAGTTCAGGGCTTTTCAACCAGTGGTACGGGTACCACCTGTGGTACATTGGCACCTGGCAGGTGGTACGCGAGCATCCTAGAAAAGTGGTAGTGGGGGAGGGGAATGAGCTGAACCGGTAGAAGCACAACACAAGCCTGAGCGAGAGATGGCTGGAGCTGCAGGGCTGTCAGGGCTCAGCGGAAGCGCCAGGATCAGCGCCAGGCTCCAGCTGGAGCTTGGCACACATCCTGGCGCTTCTGCTGAGCCCAGAAGAAGCACCAATCAGCTGGAATGTTGCAGCATCTCCAGGGTCTTGTGATTTACATTCAGATGCTTGGCAACTGATTCATATTTATGACGGTCACAGTGTCCTAGGGTCATGTAAAGTGACCAAAACCTGCTGCAACCACCCAGCAGACGGGGGGAATAAAAATCAAACACCCCCCCACCCCACCCCCGCTGCCAATCCTCAACAGAAATGCTCACGAGAACCTCGGACAGGAGGAAGAGCGCCGCCGGGTGGGCAGGCAGGTGTCTTGCTTGGCTGTGCCTTGGGGGAGCACTTTTTTAAAGTGCCATTGTAACTTCAGACAGTCACTAAGCAAACTGTTGTAAGTCAAGGATTACCTGTACTTTATCACTTTTTTCCTTTTGGGTGGGGGGGTCATCAAGTTTTTGACAACTTGCTAGGCAACTGGTGGTACTCGGATATTGCCATATCGTAAAAGTGGTACAATGGGTGAAATGGTTGAAAAGCCCTGGTCTAGTTTAATGAAGAGAAGGACGAGGGGGGACATGATAGCAGCGTTCCAATATCTCAGGGGCTGCCCCAAAGAAGAGGGAGTCAAGCTATTCTCCAAAGCGCCTGAAGGCAGGACAAGAAGCAACGGATGGAAACTGAACAAAGAGAGAAGCAACCTAGAACTAAGGAGAAATTTCCTGACAGTGAGAACAATTAACCAGTGGAACAACCTGCCTCCAGAAGCGGTGAATGCTCCAACACTGGAAGTTTTTAAGAAGAGACTGGACAGCCATTTGTCCGAAATGGTATAGGGTTTCCTGCCTGAGCAGGGGGTTGGACTAGATGACCTTCAAGGTCCCTTCCAACTTTACTATTATTATTACTATTATTATTATTGTTGTTGTCGTTGTTGTTGTTGTAACTTTGAACGGTCACTAAAATGAACTGAAGTCGGGGATTACTTGTGTAAACTTCTAGGATGAGAGCACCTGCAGATGGTCTTCCGAATTCAGTCTTGGCCAACAGAGAGAGAGAGAGAGACCCTAGTTGTGAAGCTAGGTTATGTTCGACTCTGTTTTGATCGTCCCAGAGATGCAGAGAGGAGCCCCCTTCTGTCCACTGAAAGACATGCCTTTAAAATGCAACAAGCCTTTTCTTTGAGCACAACTACATGACTCAAAGACAGTGTTTTCCTGACCTGAGCAACTTTAAATTATGTGGACTTCAACTCCCAGAATTCCCCAGTCCAGGGGTAGGCAACCTTGGCTCTTTTATGACTCGTGGACTTCAACTCCCAGAATTCCTGAGCCAGCGTGTCTCAGCATGGAAATCTCTCCATTTCTCCTCAGCATGGCTGGCTCAGGAATTCTGGGAGTTGAAGTCCACGAGTCATAAAAGAGCCGAGGTTGCTTACCCCTGCCCCAGTCAGCCATGTTGGCTGAGGAATTCTGGGAGTTGAAGTCCACATATCTTCAAGTTGCCAAGGTTGGGAAACTAAGAAAAGGCTCATCTGGTTTAAATGGTGCAGACCAGGTGCTAGAACTGTTCCTCACTGTGTCCTCTACTTACAACGGTTTATTTACTGATGGTTTGAAGTTATAGCAGCGCTGAGAAAAGTGACTTATGACCTTTTTTTTTACACTTATAAGCATTGCAGTATCCCCATGGTCATGTGATCAAAATTCAGATGCTCGGCAACTGACTTATGACACGTGCCGTGTCCCGGAGTCACGTGATCCCCTTTTGCGACCTTCTGACAAGCAAAGTCAATGGGGAAGTCAGATTCACTTAACAACCGTGTGACTAACTTAACCACTGCAGTGATTCACTTAACCACTGTGGCAAGGAAGCTCATAAAATGGGGCAAAGCTCACTTAACAATTGTCTCACTTAGCAACAGAAATTTGGGGCTCAATTGTGGTTGTAAGTCAAGGACTATCTGTATTTCTTGCCACTAAAAACACACAGCCCTAATACCTCTGCCCCTAGATGCTTTAGGGCAGAGGTCTTCAAACTTGGCCATTTTATGACTGGACTTCAACTCCCAGAATTCGTCAGCCAGCCTCCATTTTGTTTGTTAGATTTAAGACAGGGGTCTTCAAACTTGGCCGTTTTATGACTTGTGAACTTCAACTCCACGCTGGCTGAGGAATTCTGGGAGTTGAAGTCCACAAGTCATAAAAGGGCCACGTTTGAAGACCCCTGGTATAAATCCTTCCATTCCCCACCATCCAGTCAGAGCTGAAGAAGCTTCTTGAGTGAGAACCGAAATGTCTTCAAAGAAAAACAAGGAAGTCCGGTTGCCTCATGAAAAAGCATCTTTTGGGATAACTATAACCTGAATGACTGAGAAGCTCCATAGACCAGGGGGTCTTCAAACTTGGCCTTTTTACAACTTGTGGACTTCAACTCCCAGAATTCCTCAGCCAGGCATGCTGGCTGAGGAATTCTGGGAGTTGAAGTCCACAAGTCGTCAAAAGGCCAAGTTTTTGAAGACCCCTGCTTTAGGGCTTGGAAAGCTTAAATCAGCAGCTTAATATTTAGCTTTTTACCAGGCAAACCGTGACCTCCTCGGATCATTTGTTTCAGAGGTATTTTCTTGCCAGATTCCTCAATCTTTTCAAAGTGGCAGAACTGGAAAAGTTCTTAAAAATTCAGGGAAATACTCAGAGGTATACCTGCCTTCAAAGGAGCTTTTGTAGAACCCTTGAAGCACAGTGAAACATTAGGAACTGACCACCGGAAATGTTCTATGATCGTGGTTCTCAACCTGGGGTCCGCGGACCCCTGGGAACTGCGCTGTCATCACAGGGAATCTGCAAAGGCTTGAAGAAATGTTATGATTTAAATCTTGAGTCAAGTCTTGGTGGCCACAAATGGTCTTGAAAGGGGGTCCATGGTGAAGTAAAGGTTGAGAGCCACTGTTCTATGACATGTTGTGTTATGTCATAAAATGCTTTATGATTTTTAAGAAGAGACTGGACAGCCATTTGTCTGAAATGGTATAGGGTTTCCTGCCTGAGCAGGGGGTTGGACTAGATGATCTCCAAGGTCCCTTCCAACTTTATTATTATTATTATTATTATTATTATTATTATTATTATTATTATTATTATTATTAACAGAATAACAGAGTTGGAAGGGACCCTGGAGGTCTTCTTCTCCAACCCCCTGCTCAAACAGGAGACCCTATACCGGGGGTCTTCAAACTTGGCCCTTTTATGACTTGTGGACTTCAATTCCCAGAATTCCTCAGCCAGCGTGCCTGGCTGAGGAATTCTGGGAGTTGAAGTCTACAAGTCATAAAAGGGCCACGTTTGAAGACCCCTGCCCTATACCATTTCAGATAAATGGCTGTCCAGTCTCTTCTTAAAAACCTCCAGTGTTGGAGCGCCCACAACTTCTGGAGGCAAGTTGTTCCACTGATTAATTGTTCTCAGTGTCAGGAAATTTCACTTTAGTTCTAGGTTGCTTCTCTCCTTGATTAGTTTCCATCCGTTGCTTCTTGTCCTGCCTTCAGGTGCTTTGGAGAATAGGTTGACTCCCCTCTTCTTTGGGGCAGCCCCTGAGATATTGGAAGACTGCTATCATGTCCCCCCTCGTCCTTCTCTTCATTAAACTAGACATACCCAATTCCAGCAACCGTTCCTTGTATGTTTTAGCCTCCAGTCCCCTGATCATCTTTGTATATGTATATGTATATGTATATGTATATATTTCTGCATACTGCTATCTTCTTTCAAGCCTCTTGCTTCTCAGAGTCATTGTTGTTGCATTACATTTGTCCTTGAATTGTCAACCACGGATACAGCAGTAGGACTCTGAAAAGGCTTTGAAGGTTCCTGAACATACCCCTTTTGAAACCTGCTTTGTTGTTTTTGCAGAATTCTGCTTCCAGTTGCTGGAGCTCATCCCTGTTTGCACCTCCTTCGTATTCATCACCATTTTTCCCGAATGAAAACCAGTAAGTGCATTTGTGTAAGGTTACAAAACACTATACAGAATAGAGCTGGAAGGGACCTTGGAGGTCTTCTAGTCTAACCCCCTGCTCAGGCAGGAAACCCTAGATCAGGGATAGGCAACCTTGGCTCTTTTATGACTTGTGGACTTCAACTCCCAGAATTCCTGAGCCAGCCATGCTGAGGGGACAGGGAGAGGTTTCCATGCTGAACCATGCTGGCTCAGGAATTCTGGGAGTTGAAGTCCACAAGTCATAAAAGAGCCGAGGTTGCCTACCCCTGACATAGACCATTTCTGACAGATGACTATCCAGTCTCTATATGCCCAGGCCTATACCATTTACTAAACAGGGTGAATCCTGGGATGGGAGTTCACTAGGAAATCATCAGGGCTGCACACTAGTCTGGGAAATTAAGGAAAAACAAACAAACAACCCCAGAAGGAAACAGTGTCAAAATCTGTGTAAATATACAGAAACCAAAATGGCTTGGGAACATTTTGAACGATGCAAATAAAAACAGACATAAAAGATAAAGAAATAGAGCATCTTATTTATACAGTGGCACCTTAGTACTCATCTGCTTTGAAACTCATCGAATTTCACATTTTGACACAAACAACGCACAATCTAGAACTTGGCGATGTCAGTTGCCTTGTGACAATATTCTATTCTATTCTATTCTATTCTATTCTATTCTATTCTATTCTATTCTATTCTATTCTATTCTATTCTATTCTGGAATAGAATAGAATAGAATAGAATAGAATAGAATAGAATAGAATAGAATAGAATAGAGAATAGAACAGTGGTTCTCAACCTTTTTAATGCCGCGACCCCAACCGGTCGTAAGTCGAGGACTAAACCGGTCGTAAGTCGAGGACTAAACCGGTCGTAAGTCGAGGACTACCCAACCGGTCGTAAGTCGAGGACTTTCCCTGCCCGGGAACGCCGCACATGCGTGGTTCCGCCCCCTGCGCCGGCCGAGGCGTAGCTGGCAAGCGGCAGAGACGGAGCAGGCCGACCACCAGCTGGCCCAGCCCAACGGAGGTAAGGCACCCGCCGGAAAAGGGGAAAAAAATGGCGGACAAAAAAAATGGCGGACAAAAAAATGGCGGACAGCCTTGCTTGGCAACCCCCATGAAATGGTCGATCGACCCCAAATGGGGTCGCGACCCACAGATTGAGAACCACTGGAATAGAATAGAATAGAGAATAGAATAGAGAATTTTATAGAATATTATAGAATAGAATAGAATTCTTTATTGGTCAAGTGTGATTGGATGCACAAGGAATTTGTCTCCGGTGCATAAGCTCTCAGTGTACATACAAGCAACAAGTGATAAATCATGATTATAATCATAAAAAACAGTCACTATAAATCATAAGAGAGAACACTCAGCAATCAACATAAATCATACTAGGATACTAAATAAAACAATTAATATAAATCGTAAGATACAAGCAACAAAGTTATAGTCACAAGAAGATGAGATATGTAATAGGTAAAATGAGAAAGATAATAGTAATGCAGCCCTACTAAATAGTTTGACAGTCTAGTGGGAATTAGTTGTTTAGCAGAGTGATGGCATGGGGGAAAAACTGTCCTTGTGTCAAGTTGTTTTGGCATGCAATGTCCTATATCAGGGGTCTTCAAACTTGGCAACTTTTAAGACTTGTGGACTTCAACTCCCAGAATTCCTCAGCCAGCGTGGTTACAAGCTCACTAAACGAAGAACACAAAAAAACCCAGCCAACTTGATAGCGACCACACAACACACTGACAAATGTCCCCCTCTCAACTTCAATACATGACATCAATAACTGAATCCTACTGTCATCTGATTGGCTCCTTGCCAAAACAAGATGACACCCGATTGGCTCTCTAAACACTCCTGCTCATTGGCTACAATCAGATGAAGGAAAGCTACCTGATATCAACCTAAGCAAGTTGTGCTTCCTGGTTATTTGGCTATACCTTTTCATAGACTACAGCACAGATAATTGAACAAACTATGTTGCATTACATTCTTGGTTAAATTATTTTTCCATTGATACATAATTTTATGGTACTACTCCCCAAAAAAGTGGTGTTATTAGCCATCAAACCTCAAAAATACACTTTTCCCCAAAGATTTCCACAATTTTGGCCACTACTGTACAGTTAATCCTTAACTACGACTACAATTAAAAACCCTTTTTTAATGACCCAGTAATCCCTTAATTCAGTGTAGAATTGGGGTGACTGAATGGAGCTGAGTAATTACTGGCTGGATGCCCTTCCTGACGCCACATGGAGCTTGTAGCAGATAGTTTTTTTCTTTGCGCCCTGGGAAAGAAATATATGCTGCTACCTAGGGTTGAACTTTCAACCTTCCGAGTGGAAAGAGATCCACAATTGAGTTCCAAATTTCTATTGCCAAGCAAGAAGAAATAGGGGAGACAGGATAGCAGTATTCCAGTATCTGGGGGGCTGCCACAAGGCAGAGGGGGCCGGGTTGTTCACCAGAGCACCAGAGGGAAGGACGAGAAACAATGGTTGGAAGCTGATCAAAGAGAGAAGCAACCTGGAATTAAGGAGAAACTTCCTGACAGTGAGGACAATCAACCAGTGGAACAGCTTGCCCCCAGAAATCGTGGGCGCTCCATCACTGGAGGTTTTTAAGAAAAAACTAGACAATCACCTGACTGAGATGGTATAGGTTCTCCTGCTTGAGCAGGGGCTGGACTAGAAGACCTCCAAGGTCTCTTCCAGCTCTATTCCTATTCTATTCTATTCTATTCTATTCTATTCTATTCTATTCTATTCTATTCTATTCTATTCTATTTTGACAGTTGTTAAGTGAGTTTTGCCCCATTTTATGAACTTTGTTACATTTATTAAGTGAACCAATGCAATTGTTAAGTGAATCAGTCGATCATTAAGTGAATCTGACTTCCCCCATTGACTTTGAAAGTTTGGAAGCTGGCTAGGAAGATTACAGATGGTACAGGTAG